CCATGAAACGGTAAAGAACCTCTTGCTGGTGGTTGTGTCCGGTTTATCATTAGGGCCAGAATCAAGTTGAGAATTAGTAGCATGACTACCTGTTTGAGGAATCTGAGCTGAGATTAGGTTGAGTGTAGTACTATGGAATCACTCTACCCGTGTGGGACAGTAAGACACTTGTTTAATTTCTCCAGCATGTCGTATGGACAGTTTGATCTTTACAAATGCACAACAATTTGAAATAGTAACTGCCGGTTAACCGCAGTCTTTAATTGTACTTCTATGCTCGAGGCACTTGTCCTGTCAAACTTTGGTGTGATCTTTTAACCCTCTGCTGAACTGTATTTATTTTCATATCTTTTTATTTTCTCTTGTGCTGAAGAATTTAAAGATTGTTGGAGGAAACTCCTCAGCAGTATCACTTTAGTCAAATTTATATTACCCCTTATGGAGAAAAAATGATAAAATGGGTTGAATTTTAAGTGTGTTCGCTATGTTGCATTATTTCATTAACGACAGTGACATTGTGCACATATTGTAAAATCTTCGAAAGTGGCCAGTCAAGACAAGAAGAAAAAGCCAGCTGAATTGGGATAGGAATAAGGAGTGCAATTGTTTCGTAAGATTTTGGAGAAAGATTGCAATAAGCCTTTTGCGAGTTAAATTTGAATAAAATCTGGTACACTGAGTTCTTTGAATTCACATGAACATAACAATTGGAATTCTCCATTCTAAAACCGTTGTTGCTATACCTTGTGATTTGGGGCAAGTTTTGGCTTGGTTACATAAGAGACGCCTTGCAACAATACACTGTTTTTGATGGAAAAGAAAGGCACAAAGGAACCAGTCCATTCCAGAGATGGTGCTCGCTAAGCAAAAGCTTGCCCCGAATCACGAGGTAACAACAGTGTCTTCAGTCTGGGGAATTCAAATTGTTATGTTTATGTGCAATCAGATAGCCCAGTGTACCAGATTTTATTCAAATTTAACTCGCAAATGGCTTATTGGAAAAGCTCATTACCAAATGTGCTGCCTTTTCTTCCACTTAGATATGACGAACGCATCGACCGCGTGGAAACACGTATCACTGCCCGTCTGCGTGACCAGCTTGGCACAGCCAAGAATGCCAATGAGATGTTCCGCATCTTCTCGCGATTTAACGCCCTCTTTGTGCGACCTCACATTCGCGGTGCCATTCGTGAATACCAGACGCAGCTTATCCAACGTGTCAAGGACGACATTGAGTCACTGCACGACAAGTTCAAGGTATTGAAAGTTCTTCCACACCTATCAAAAAGGGTTGTTCGAACAATTTGCTGAATAAAACAATTTTTAAAAAAGAGGAAAAGAGATAAAACAAAACAGAAAATTGTTTCCTGAATTTGTGATGTAAACAAGCTCGTGTATTATTGTTATGATTGTGGATTGTTTGCAGCTATTGTCACTTCAATTGGAGATTGATCTCACACTCATTAATACAAATGCATCATTATTTGTAATTGATTGTGCATTGTTGCATTAAACAATTCAGAAGTTTTAAATCTCATAAGGGCTTGGGGTCAAAAGCAAGACTAGTTGTTCAGCTAAAACAAGTTTTGCATGTAAACTGTGTTTACATTTAGTTTTCTAAGTTGTGCTTTGCAGGAATGTTAACAACATACGTCACCCTAGAATACCAAGGTGTGCACACACAAGTTTGTGCTTTTGTAAAACTTAACTTACATTTAACACGAGGTAGATGCCAACACAACCCACAGTTTATAAAAAACTTCATTTTGTTCTGGTTTAGATGTTAGGGACGTACATTAAATGAGGATCAAGACATTCTGTCTGTTTTGCTGGATGAATTGAATCTTCCATTTTCTGACAATGGATATTCCTTGGAAAGCTTCCTTTAAGGATTATTCTTGCAGCCATTTCTGGTTTGCCTGATTGTTGATTTTTTCCCTCTGTTCAGGTCCAGTACCCACAAAGCAAGGCGTGCAGAATGAGCAAAGTCAGAGATCTCCCTCCAGTGTCAGGTTCCATCATCTGGGCAAGACAGGTGGGTCATAGATGTGACTAAAAGTGGTATCTGTGATGTTTGTTCGTTTGTTTTTTTACCAGGACGAGACAGGAAATGAACAGAAAGATGAGTGTGAGGTTAGAGGAAGTCAGGAATGTCCATGAATGTCAATTGTTCATTGCTATGACTATACATGTGGATGGCTTTACAACCGAGCAGGTTGTAGATCAGAATGAGATACGAGATGTGGGAACAAGTTGATGTCAAGAATCCTTCCCTATTACCGCTATGACAGAGATTGTATAGCAACTCAAGGTAGCTTTTTAATGGAATTTTCAGTCCCCGCAAGTTTGTCGGAGCACACTTGAAGGTCTTGATAAAGCTGTAATGAAAAATGTATCAAATTAACATATGATGAGCGCTACAAGTTAGTAGCACTGTAGAATTTCCCTGTGTTATCCTTGTGTACTTCAGCAGAAATAACCACTGGTGATAGGATTAAAGTATCATTTGCATGCAGTTTCTATCAGTACATGTATGTTGTTTGTTTCCTGTACAGATTGACCGCCAACTGAGTGCTTACATGCATCGTGTGGAGGACGTCCTTGGCAAAGGCTGGGAGAATCATGTGGAAGGCCAGAAGCTCAAGGCAGATGGAGACAGCTTCAGAGCCAAGCTTAACACCCAGGAACTCTTTGATGACTGGTCCAGGAAGGTAACAAACAAACTACCAATTCAAGCTTTGAATTTCAGTCATGTGTGAAAAACATGATGAATAGTGCCATTCAAATATCATAAGTATATACCAGTTACCATGTGCAAAATGAAAGAATGAGTTCTGTCATGAGCAAAGCTGGGTACAAACAACATACGTTCCAACATTTGGGGAATTGGAAGATTTTGTCTAACGATTGCTTATTTCAAACCATTCTTCACACATTTCCACTGTTGTTCAGTGTCCTTAATGCCATTGATAAGAATTGAAGGTGTCATATTTCGTTGGTATCACAATGTGAAATATATAAATTGGAGACTCTCCATTATTCTCTCAAACCATACTTCTGTCTGGATTGTAATGGCTGCGGTAGGTGTACAGCCTTGTAATCTGAGTTATCTCTTGCCGTCTCCACAGGTTCAGATGCGCCAGCTGGGTGTGTCTGGTCGCATCTTCACCATCGAAAGCCAGAGGACCAGGCAAGGAGGCAAGGGCAACCTCTTGAAGCTCAAAGTCAACTTCTTGCCAGACATCATTACTCTGTCCAAAGAGGTCAGATCTTCAATTCAACTCCTCAGCATTCATAAAAATCCATATCAGGGCACTATATTATAAAGACATGTTGATAGACAACAAGCTTCACTGTCTTTCCTTAAACCTCTTCACACTGGGATTCTTTTGATCATGTGACTGCTGGGCTGTGGTATGCCCAGTATGCAAAGCTCTGTCCAGCAGCTGGCCCCATTGAACCAGCAGTTGCATGGTGAATAAACTTTGTGTGGTATGCACTAATCCTCACATAAAGCCGTGGCTGTGGACAGCTCCTGGCATGAAGGGGTTAACTGTGAAGATGCTTTGTTGCATTACATTAATGTACATTTTTGAAGGCTGCTCATCTCGTTACATTTTTGGCTTCAGCTGATAAACATGGTAACAACATTCTTGCTTGGTTGTCAGTGTGGACATTAGCATAGTTTGCAACTCCACTGTGTTATGATCAATTCAACTTTTCTTGACTGGTTCATTTCTTTGAAGAATGAAAGCATCACACAAATTGGAATACCTGATAATGTGGTGCATTGCTTACTTAATGATGCCTTCTTAAAAAGCTGATCTTACTCTAGGTTCTGTGTGTGAGTTCCTCATCAAGAGTATTTCCAAAAAACTCTAGTCATTTGGGATCGCAGAGGAATAAAATTGTAAAGCCATGACTGTTAAATCTTCCCAGGTGCGGAACTTGAAGTGGCTAGGTTTCCGTGTTCCCCTGGCCATTGTCAACAAGGCCCATCAGGCCAACCAGCTCTACCCCTTTGCCATCTCCCTGATTGAGAGCGTGCGGACCTACGAGAGAACCTGTGAGAAAGTGGAAGAGAGACAGACCATCACGCTGCTGGTAGCTGGCTTGAAGAAGGAAGTCCAAGGGCTAATCGCAGAGGTGAGAATCGGTCCAGTCTTGCTGCAGCTCTCTTATTTCTGCTGCCATTAGTGCTTGGACCCTTGAGGGGTGATCCAATCAGTTTGAGTTAAGGGGTGGCTTCCTATCCATATGTTTTCGGTACCTTGTAGCGCTGGTATTCACCTTCTTGTACTGATTAGGGGACTCATGATAGGTCTCAGTAAGGCAGATGAACAAGATCTTGTTATTTTGTGACTTAGGTCACAGACTCAGTGCAAGAAATGTATTTGATACGTTGTGGCCTGGAAAAACTGAGAACTGCCATGCTAAAAAAGAAAACTCTGCGCTATGGTTTTAAATTATCATCCACTCTGACTAACAACACTGCCGTTTAGGTAAAACCACATCTTTTCTCTGATATGGAAGAGGACTTTTGAAAGTCAGTTTGTGTTTACCTTGCACTCAGTGGCTTTTCTCTTCAGTAAAGGAAATTGCCATAATTGTGTTTTATGTGAATTTTTATGATTGTTCCACACGTAGAACATGTTGTGCTACAGTTGAAGTTGTACTGCAGTACACTCACACTTCAAATCTTCTAACTGTACCAAATAGTTCCCCCCTTCCTTAACTTTTTTCTTTTGAAATCCCCTCACCCTCTGTGAAAGTTTCTTTGAGTCTGCTTGCCCATGAAGGTTCACATGACAAGTGCACACATGTGGTGTTGACCAGAGGCTGCGTGACCAATGGTAAATGCATACATGTGTAGAAACTTACATCTTCACTTGAGAGGACTTCACTCAGTGATTGAAATGGTTTACTGTGTCTGTCAGTTGCAAAGGATGCAGTTTTGCACAGAATGCATGGGAGAGGCTTCTGGGCAGTTTGAGTTAATCTCATCCTTGAAATTGAGCTGAACTACATGTTAAAATGACACTCTGTTGGCAGGGTGTTGGCCTCGTGTGGGAGTCCTACAAGCTGGACCCTTATGTGCAGAAGTTGGCCGAAGCAGTCTTCAATTTCCAAGAAAAGGTACGTCTCCCTTTCTTGTCAAAGAGATAAAAGTTGTTCGCATTTCAAACCCATTTAAAATTCTAATTTTTGTGTTTGACACCTTCCAAACAGGTATGATTTAATTCTGCTTGTATGTCAGAAGTTTGAATAGAAAGTGCTACATAGTTAAAACGTCATCGTGAAGCAATAACAACAATGGCTCCACAAACAATATAACTTGTTGGCTCCGCCAGCAATATTGATGGGTAGCAAGCGAACATCATGCAAGATATGGCAAAATGCCACATCCTGAGTCTTTACACTGCCCTCAGCAGTTCATGCACAGATTGAATGAGCACTGATGGCCATATTTCCCGCCTAGGTTGACGACCTCCTTCTGGTTGAAGAGAAGATTGACAACGAAGTGCGATCCTTGGACCACTGCGACTACAATGCCAATATCTTTGCCGAAATTCTGAGCCACATCCAGAAGGAAGTGGATGATCTCAACCTGCACTCTTACTCCAACTTGCCACAGTGGGTGGCCAAGCTAGACATGGAGGTATGGTGATGTCATGATAAAGACATGTTTGCCATACACTGTGTATTTATACAATAGATCATGTCAATGCAAGGCCTGTAATTCTCTTGGTCTTTATCTGAATCTGCTGAATTTGGAGTCTGTAAATGAACTTTTCTAGTGTTGGAAATGTCGCTGCAAAAATGTTCAGTATGGCTCAAAGTATTAGCTCTGAGCCAGTGAAATGAAGTATAATGCAGATGTTTTTTACTTCTTACTAATGTTCTAAACGTGCTGTTGGGAAACAGACATTTCTTAGTTTTGCCTATTGTAAGTGAATTTAATCAGTTTAAGGGGGTAGTTTGAAATTACTCTTGAGGCAGTGTTAAGAGTTATTGACACCTTTACCTAAAGTGTTAATTAAGGTGCAAACCATGAACAAACCTTTCTGTAACCTGCCCAGATAACACAAGGCTTCAAGTAGTGCAGTAAGTAAGAATGACACTTTCCTGCTTTTAAACTGATCTTGGGTTAGTCTTTTTCCAGAAGGTGCTATGAGAGTTCTTAAGTGGCTTGTCTCTTGCTGTGTAGGTTGAGAAGAGATTGGCACGACGGCTGCAGGCTGGTCTGCGAGCATGGACCCAGTGCCTCCTGGGCAAAGACACAGGCATGGAGGACAGTATGGACACAGATGTCTCCAACAAACACAAGCCAGGAGGGGAACCCAAGATCACGGTGAGTGAGAAGTAGAAAACTGAAGATCAAATGTCAACAAAATAGGAAACTCTTGTAAAGATAAGGGACGGACCTGTCATCTGAATGTTAAATCAAATTGTGTCTCTATGTTGGGTCTCTAGTGACTGAGCTATTCAACCCATCTTGAAGTTCTTTGTAATTTGTCGTTATCTTTCTTTAGGAACACTAGCGAGCAGCCATGGTATTAATGAGATGGATTCGATATTGATCAGATGAATAGAGCTTTGTTACGATGAATTTTATTGCCTGCGTCATCATTTGGGAGGGGATTTAGCACGTTTATGCAGTGTTTGTCACTTTGAGTCCCATACAGCATGGTGGAACTTTTTACAATTTCCATTTGGATGGTTACATACCAGTAGCAAGCTTCCGTTTGAAGTTGTTCCTCGATTCAACTTTTGGTTGTAAAGCAAGATTTCTTCAAAGATTTCACGGCACCAGCTTTTAAAAACCCATGGATGGAAGTTAATGGGAAAAATGCTTCATGTTAGAGTTAGTAGTAAAACCCTGGCCAGATAGTCATGGAAAGCCCTCGTAATCATGTAGGGACTGTAAACACAATCCGTGTGATGGCCAGTTTGGGATTCTGAACCGGCGGGGTCACATTGTCAAAGGCAATAAACCTATCATAAACCTATCATCAATATGTGTGCTCTCTGTGCTGCAGGGCATGATTCACGAGATCCGCATCACCAACCAAGTCATGTACCTGTCCCCGCCCATCGAGGAGGCACGCTTCCAGCTAATGCATCAGCTCTTTGCCTGGCAACGCATCATCACTGGCCAGAAGCGCCTGGAGAGCTCTCGCTACCAAGTAGGCATCGAGCAGCATGAGTCCAACAAGACCGCCGTCTACCGCACACTGCTGGCTAAACTACCCGAGGGCAAGCAGGTCCTGGAAGAGCCCTACAAAGCCATCGATACCATCCTCAAGCAGGTCCAGGAGTATGTCAAGGTCAGTTATATGTGATAGCAAGATTGTGTTATTTGCTTTGACCATAACTTCCAAGGCCCTTGTGGCTTGGATGCATCCTCAGTCCTTCAAAATCCTCCCAACTGCCTCCGAGTCAAAGTCGGATTCAGCCTTTGTCCCCCTAAATCCTCCTTTATTGCTTGCATGTGATGGAATGGTGACTACTGCCTCATTTTTTCATAATCCTCCGGCAATTCCTGCCGTCATGTTGAGTCAGTGCACATGATATCCTGGAGCAGTGGGTATGATTCACTTATAATCTAGGCCTGAATGTATGTATGGCCAGGAATCAACAATGCAAAGTCAAACCCAAGACCTTGATATGGTGTGTACGTTACCAAGAGCCACTTTTTATGCCATTCAACTGAATAAGGATTGTCAGTGAAACAGTGGAAGAATCCTGTGGTGGGTCTGACATGGATTTGATGTGTTTCTGGTCATTATAGGAATGGCTGCAGTACCAATCCCTGTGGGACATGCAGCCCCATAACGTCTACACTCGCCTTGGAGATGAGTTGAAACTGTGGATGCAACTGCTTGTGGAGATCAGGTACCAGTTTAATAAGTTGCCGTAGAATTAATTCAAGCATTTGTAGCAGTGACAGCGGATACCAAGCAATGGTTTTGCATAGTTTAGCACTGATGTAATTCTCCTAGGTTTCTCATACAATGAGGGATGCTGTCCTCAACAGACTGATAAGTTTTTACTGACTTTACATTACACATGCCTTCTTGTAAAGATCCGTATTTGGTTGTCTGAACTACCAACGTGTAAATTTTCAGAGCCAAGCTATTTTCTTTAACCCTCCTATGCTGAAGTCACTCTTTGGGTCACTTGGTAAACACCTCAAAGAAGCACAGCTGTGTCGTGTTGTGCACTGCACCAACATGCAAGAGAGTGACCTTGGGCACTTGTGCATATTTGTGCTGTAAAACTAAAGGAGGGTTAATGTGCATATTTTGGCACAACATGCCTGTTACATTAATGCTGCAGGCAGGCAAAGAGTATTTCATATATAACCGCTGTGTTTTGATAGCGGATTGGTTCATCACTCATTGTTCACTGTCATTGCAGACAATCCCGCACCACGTTTGACAACGCAGAGACACGCAAGGAGTTTGGCCCCATTGTGGTAGACTATGGCAAGGTACAGTCCAAGGTCAACATGAAGTACGACTCCTGGCACAAGGAGATCCTGAGCAAGTTTGGCAACAAGCTGGGATCTGAGATGACAGACTTCCATGGCTCCCTGGCTAAGGTGAGAAATCACCCAGGAATTGAATCCTATGATAGACAGGCTTTTTAGCTCTCATGGCTTTGTGTTTATTAAACTCCACTTCCATCCACAACATGGATCTATAGAACTCAAAGACATTTATCAATACCATTTTTGTCCTCTGATCTGTCACCATTGAAGTTCAGTTTGTCCGAGGCCCCATTTTATGCTGAAACACGAAACCGAGTTTGAATCAAGCCTGAGTTTCTGTGTTGTAAGAATTGATTGCATTAAAAATCGGTAGAGGTCTGAGTATAAAACGTGCTTTACACTGAGTAGTCAAGAAATATACAAATGTACCCAAAACAACTCGGACACAACCTCAAGTACAAGGTTTTGACATTTTCAATGTACCTTTGTATCCAACATTTCAATAATCAGAAGACCCAGGCACCCAGATTACACTGTCAGGTTTCCGGGGTGAACTCACAAACTACAAAACCACATTATATGTTTGACTCAGAAAAAAACTACATTCTTGTACATTTGATGCCTTAGTCTCGCACTGAGCTGGAGCAGCACTCAGTGGACACAGCCAGTACATCGGATGCCGTCAGCTTCATCACCTACGTACAGAACCTCAAGAGGAAATACAGAGCCTGGGAGAAGCAAGTTGAGGTAAGTAACGGGCATAGTGATATATGATGCAGCACACTGAGTGACACATAAGGCACATTCATCACCCTTGCATACTCCGCCTGAACTTTAAAGTAATCCTTCAAGACGTATGCACGGATCTTTATATAGTGATCGGAGAGCTGGTGCACCCGTCACTATGCACAAACAGATGTCGCATGCATGATGCAATTTTGTGTGGTGTCTAGAGATGGTCACCATCTGGCATAGAGTGAAAATTAAATAATTCATGTTTATAGACACAGGACTTTCTGTGTCGATATCCCAAGTGTAGATATACAAACACTGCTTGATGTGAAATGGCGTGTAATAGTCCTGATTTGAAAGCCCACTGTTACTAAACCTTCAAGCCTTATGATCCATCTCCAGCACACACATGCTCTGAGTTTGGTCCTCCAATGTTGATTCCAAGATGCATCCAGCCTTTGGTCTTCACACACTATCCATTCAGTGGTAAAGAGATCAGGGGGCATATGCTTTGAGTTTTAGCCTCCAATGTTGATTCCAAGATGCCTCCAGCCTTTGGTCTTCACACACTATCCATTCAGTGGTAAAGAGATCAGGGGGCATTGCTTTTTCTTTCAAACTTAACCGTGTATTGTCTGTGGTCAGCTCTGTACATCTAGTTGAACATACAGCACTTCACTATATTTCACGTTTTCTGCTTGGCCCTTCAGAATGCCGCCATAAACTTTAGTATGCAGTTAATTTACTTTTGAAATTCTATATTGAATAACATTTCAATTTGATATTACGTGGGATATGATATGTATGTATTTATGTTTGAGATTGAGCACAGATTCTTTGATTAGCACAGTGTAGACAGTATTTGTCTATAACATTGCATACCTTGGTTGATAGATGTACCGTGGAGGTCAGAAGCTGTTGGAACGTCAACGTTACCAATTTCCCTCCAGCTGGCTGTATGTGGACAACATTGAAGGAGAGTGGGGTGCTTACAATGAGATCATGAAGCGCAAGGACACTGCTATCCAGCAACAGGTGCAGGCTCTAAACATAGACGCTCTCTTTTCCTTTCACATCAGCTGCTTTGACATACTCTCTTTTGTTTCTGCATTTATTTAGTTCTTGAAATGTTTGTTGCTGAAAACATTTTGGCCTTGAGACCACTGGTTTGGTATTTCCTAAATACGAATCCGTATTCTCAAAGATGTTATGAAGCAACACTTGGTCATTTCATCTCCACATTAAATTATATTTCATAAGAAGCCATTTATTTAAATTTGTGGAAAGTATGAGCCAAAGCTGTTGCATCAGTTTGAGGCAAAAGTTGATAAAAGAATTTTTTTCCTAGTCCAAACCATGAACAAAAGTGTGAAACTTTTTTTTTGTTGTTGGTGTTTGTGATGTGATACACTATACTTGTGTTCCATGCCCCTCTTCAGGTTGCCAGTCTGCAGATGAAGATCGTGTCAGAGGATCGGACCGTGGAGGCTCGCACCACTGAGCTCTTGACGGAATGGGAGAAGAATAAGCCCATCGATGGCGAGCTGAGGCCAGACCTTGCTACCAATGCCCTGACCATCTTCGAGGGCAAGTTTGCCCGGCTGAAGGAAGACCGCGACAACATCACCAAGGCCAAAGAGGCTTTGGAACTCCAAGAAATTGGTGAGCAGTCCCTTCCAAAACTGACAAATATTGATTTCAGTTTTGCTTAATACCCACCCTCCTGTATGTACTCTTTAAATCCACCTGGAGGTTGTGGAAGATTTTCCAAGATGTAAACTTCTCTTTATCCTATCAGCCAATTGCCTCTAGTTTAACTTATTGCAGATGGGAAAGAAGTCTTGGTCACCCTCAAATTTTCTTGTCTTTGCACAGGAAACATGGAACCCAGCCACAATAAAGTGTCCTTTACATTAGGGCTTACATGCTGAGAATACTGAATTTGCAAAGTGTGTGTGATTGGTATTGGGAAAAGTTGTGGTTCGTTGAAGATTCCCAGCAAAACGGACAGAGCAGTTAGGGTTAAAAACTGTCCCTTTGCACTTCCTAAGTCGTTGTAATTTTAAGCTTGTGTTTACATGATTTTTTTGCCTCAGCAACAAAGCTGTATTGCCAAAAAAAAGTAAAGTCTCCATGAACCCTTTCTAAAAATTTGGCTTCATATGCATGGGTCACTCAATCTATTTTTGCTTAGCCTAATTCAGTATACTGACAGTTTTTATGTGCCTCAGACCCCTTCAGCTCAGAAGTCTCGTGGAGTTGCCAAAATGTGCTTCTTTGATAGATGGATTGGAATTCACTGCATGGTTGTCCTTTACTTCTCTAGGCGTGGCGAGTCCCAGCGAGGAGAGAGTGCAGGTGGCTCTGGAGGAGCTGCAAGATCTCAAAGGTGTCTGGTGTGAGCTGGCCCGCATCTGGGAGCAGATTGACGAACTCAAGGAGAAGCCCTGGCTGTCAGTGGCTCCCCGTAAGCTGAGGCAGAGCCTGGATGCACTGATGACCCAGCTGAAGAGCTTACCGGCACGGCTGCGCCAGTACGCCTCCTATGAACATGTGCAGCGGGTCCTCAAGGGATATGCCAAGGTACTAGATCACAAGGAAGCTTTACCCTACTCACAAATTGATCAAAGTTTTCTTAATCCGTCCAGACACAGTCTTCTTTTCCCTTTCCTGTGTCTTTTGAGTGTCCTGAGTTTTTAACCAAGAGCTAGTCATTGACAATAACAAACTAATCCCCTCAGGTCTGTAATTATTTTAAAAGGAAAAAAGGAGTGTTTGAATGGCCTGGTCTAATAGAGTAGCATTTGTATCACTTCAGGTCGTGGGTTTAAAAGAGCTCTGAAGCTGTCTTTTATCCAGATGGAGCCGATAGAACAAAGCATCTTAACGGTGAAAAACAGAAACCAAGACTGCTTACACATGCTGTCACTGGTACTGGTTAATCCAGAGAAGTAATTTTTTGACCCCGGGATGAGAGAATGTTGCTATTGATCGATCAACATGAATCCTGTTAAGTTGCGCAAGACTCTCCAGCCGAAACTATTTGTTGGATTTTGTTCACCTGAGCATTCAACAAGATCTTTTGCTTCCGACTGTTAAATTCTGTTGGATACGTGGACTTGATGAGATGTTAATTGATTATAATGGAAGTTTTGCCTAACACCAATGTTTGAGCTTTGACTAGATGCCTGACTTCAAAACTTACACATTTGAAGAGAGACACGATTCTTAACATTTCCCAAATGCCATTGGTTATACTTGCTGCTGATTCAGCTTCCCTAGGAATCTGGCAGATCTGACGCATAGGCTCATGTACTCAGAGTGGGTACAAATAATACGTACAGTTCCACAAACATTTGAGCTACACAAAGTCCTGTAGACAACAACCGGCTAAATGACACCCGGTGTTAATGTCAAAATTCTTGCAGAGTTGTCCATGTTGTGCCTCTTTGCGGCGCTAAATGACCCCTTAGTTAAACCTTGCATCATTATGAACCCTTACAAATCAGGTCAACATGCTAGTGGTGGAGCTGAAGTCAGAAGCCTTGAAAGAGCGGCACTGGAAGCAACTGATGAAACGGCTCAAGGTCAGCTGGGTGCTGTCAGAGCTGACCCTTGGCCTGGTGTGGGATGTTGACCTACAGAAGAACGAGGCCATTGTACGCGACATCATCAATGTAGCACAGGGAGAAATGGCCCTGGAGGAATTCCTCAAGCAGGTTTGCATTCAAGCATTTACTTGAAGAGTACTTCAGCACAGTGCCTGGTCGGTCATTTGAAGTTCTCTGGCAATTATGTGCTGTAAGGAAGGCCAGTTTGGGAAGATCAAGCATTTCTGTTCACCCAAAAAAATCAATTTTCATATTCCATGTGGTTATATAAACACAGGGAAAAAACCTGGAAAAATTATGGTTCCAGTACAAGGCATCAGAAATCTTGAAAGGTGGAATTGAGCAGTTAGCTGATAACAAAGATATGGAAAAACTAGTAAGGAGCCTCACCCTGCAATGCTGTATCATTGTCATTTATCTAGGTACGTGACGTCTGGCAGTCCTATGAGCTGGATCTGATCAACTTCCAGAACAAATGCCGAGTCATCCGTGGCTGGGATGACCTCTTCACCAAGGTCAAGGAGCACATCAACAGCGTGACAGCCATGAAACTTTCCCCTTACTTCAAGGTACACAGTGTTTCTCCTGTGAAACTTGAGCGACAAGTCTCACTTTTATTGAGGTGTTATATATGGGTTTTTCCAGAAAGAGAGAGAGAGGTGGGATTTTATCAAGTGAACTATGAGGAGTTTTGTTCATTTGGTGACTTGTTGTCCTCGTTGAATAATTTAGCCTTGGGGGCCACTTTCATTGACAATCGTTGGTTTTAAGCCACGCTGTTTGCTTGTTGTTAACAACAAGGAGAGGCTCTTCATCTTTTTAAGTATTAGGCTGTGTTTATAAGACTTAAAGGTTTTCATGGTGAAAGAAACTAGATTTATTGTAAAGATTGCGGTAACACCATGTATTTATCTCTTCTTTGAGTATGTGTGGTTCTGAGAAGAACCGGGGAATAACTCGACGTTTCGAACAGTGTACTCTGTCCGTCTTCAGGAGACTGCAGGATTCTAACTTGGAGTGGAGTTTTTTTGGTGTAGAGAGGGATCCAGATGTAGGGATTAGCTCGGTGAGGCATTAAGGCGGGAACAGTGATGGCGGGAACAATGGATGCTGCACTGGATCCTGGGGCTGCATGCCTGCAGCTGCATTGTTAACAAGCAAACAGCGTGGCTTAAAACCAGCGATTGTCAATGAAAGTGGCCCCCAAGGCTAAACTATTCAACGAGGACACCAAGTCACCAAATGAAAAAAACTCCTCATAGTTCACTCGATAAAATAGTTCGCTTGGCTGTGTGTTTTCCATCACATTAACTTATCAGAGCTCTTCACAATCATGACTTTTGAAAACAGGTTTTGAAATTGGAAGAAGTGCCTGTCTTTTGTTAGGTTGCTGTATATTTGATTTTTTCAGTATTGTCTATGGTTGAGCTCCACGGACCATCAGATAGATTTGTAGTTCTTTGCATTTGATGTATTAAATGTCTAAACAGCAAACATGTCTTCCCTTAGATGCATACATATTGCATCAGGACTGAGAGAAGAACTCACAGCTTTGCATCCTTCTCAAGGAAGTAGTGATTATGATGTTCAATAAACATACAAATTATCTGTACAGTGGTCCACAGCAAGCTTCATTGGACTCCCTGAGCACACTGTGTCTTCAGTGCTGTTGTATGAGAATGTACAGTAGACAATGCCTTTAAGTGATCAACTATTTCTGTCAAATCAGCCTGGTCAAGCCAACCAATCAATTATTTGTTTTGTTCTCTTGGCAGGTGTTCGAGGAGGATGCCCTAGCATGGGAGGACAAACTGAACCGTATCAATGCCCTGTTTGATGTCTGGATTGATGTCCAGCGCCGATGGGTCTACCTGGATGGAATCTTCTCTGGCAGTGCTGACATCAAGCACCTTTTGCCAGTTGAGACCCAGAGGTTCTCAAGGTAATCAGTTCACATATTCATTAAATATTCCAAGTGTCGTATCTTTTCACGAGAAGGCTGGAGACATTGTTATCTTCACAAAGAATTTTTTTCGAGATCCTAAAGTCTCATCAAAATCTCTGACAACTTTTGATAAACTCAGTTTCAATTGTCATGAAGTCCTTAGGAGCTGCTTGCTATCATTTGTTGTATATAGAAAAAAACAAATGTTAAACTATTGTTACAGATCTGCGATTCTGTTCATAGCTGGTACTCGTGCCTTTGTTTCCAAACACTGCGTATCACTTTGTCTTGTTGCATAAACAAAGTAGAGCGAACAGTCTACGTAAATATTACAACAACCATTTTTTCCGTGTTTGATTCTCTTTTCCATTTTGTGAGCAAAAGATGACCCTTTTTTGTTTGCAGCATCAGCACGGAGTTCCTTGCCCTGATGAAGAAAGTGGCCAAATCACCGCTGGTGTTGGACGTGGTCAACATCCCTGGTGTCCAGCGTTCCCTGGAGCGACTGGCTGACCTGCTGGGCAAGATCCAGAAGGCTCTTGGAGAGTACCTAGAGAGAGAGAGGGCCTCCTTCCCAAGGTAGCACTGCCATTAGTGTTTCTCCTGTGTAACAGCTGTCTTTGCTAACAGTTATGTCATTCACTTCTTAACCCTAAGTCCATGTACTGGCCATGCACTTCAATGCAAATAGTGATATTCGTCTGGACAGTATAGCGAGGTTCAGGGTTTTTTACAATCTCATAGTTACGGTGCTTTTTCACCCTGAAGTGTCAAAAACACCAAGATATGACAAATGGTAGATGTATCAGATTTTTCAGAGGTAAATCACAGAATATTTGCAAGCTTTTGTGAGTAACGACATGGGCATTTTATCACACCTTTGACTTGCAAATACTAAATTCACCAGTGAGTCAAGCACACTCCAATGAAATTAGCATTTACTGAGCAACACATACTTATTTTATAATATTCAATATCATACGTAAACTACACTGTAAGGCTTGTTTTAACTCACAAAACAAGCCTTAGTAAAAACTGAAATCGCTGTCCTTGCAAGATGTCTCAGGTAATTTAACCATTCCGGACAGATTCTACTTTGTTGGTGATGAAGACCTCCTGGAGATCATTGGCAACAGTAAGAATGTGGAGAAACTCCAGAAGCACTTCAAGAAGATGTTTGCCGGTGTGGCATCCCTGAACCTGAGTGAGGATCTCAGCCTGGTCTTGGGAATTGCCTCCAAAGAGGGAGAGGAGGTAATTACTCAGACTTGAACAATCATTGGGAGAGGGTATGCTGAGGGAATCGTTTGCGACAAGTTCATGGGCAATTGAGCTGATCAGATTTTAATCGTGGCCTCTGTTGATACGGGGAATCACATCTTATCTTGGACCTTGTGCTGCGTATTTATCTCATTGACCTTATCTCCATGTAGGTTGTGTTCAAGACCCCTGTGTCCATCACAGAGCACCCCAAGATCAATGAATGGCTGACCCTAGTGGAGAATGAGATGAGGGTGACATTGGCTAAGCTGCTAGCTACGGCTGTAGTGGGTGTAGCCCAGTTCCGAGAGGGAGACATTGATGCATCAAAGTACCTGGAATGGGTGGATCAATATCAGGTCTGTTTGTAGACTGTATCCTTGAAGTGAATAATCAAAGTTACTATGTTGGTTTTTTTAAGGAGAGTGTTTTGCTGAAATTTTTTGATACATCCTCTGAATGACCTCTGCACTGTGCCCTCCTAAAACTGTAATAGTATGCCTTAACATGCAATAGCACTAACTGCTTCATAGGTTATTGATTATTTATCGGTGTTTGATTATTTCAAAGAAAATGAAACATGATTAAAACTGAATATGACTCTAAAGTCAAGGTAACTATAGAATATTGTAGTTGATGGAAATCCCATTTGATGCAAGATACGTGGCAGAGGATACCCCTGCCCCACCAGTGGTGTTCGTTGTACCAATGGAAATTTTGTGGAGTTATCAAGGGCGTATTTTTGCTAGCTCTAAAGCCAGTGTGTGTGTGTGTTAGAACACAGTGAGAGCAATAATGGAAGGTTATCTAGATCCATATCTCAGTATGTGGGATAGAACACGAACTTGGCCTCCAAGTCTCTCTTGTTCATGGTTAAACCCTGCCTCTCATTGCTTGTAGGCCCAGCTTGTGGTGTTGTCAGCCCAGATCTCCTGGTCAGAGTCCACAGATAAAGCCCTAGGATCCATAGCCCAGGGTGGGACTGGGGACATGGCCCCTCTCAAGGGCGTGCTGCAGACAGTGGAGAGCACACTGCAGGTCCTGGCTGATTCGGTGCTACAGGAACAGCCGCCAGTCAGACGCAAGAAGTTGGAACATCTGGTTAGTCGTGCAGTGGTTTCCAGAACAGCTGCTCAGTATTGTTGTGGCCCTAGCCTGGAAAAACTTAACCAGGTGTTTTTACTGTTAACATGATCCGTATGAGAATGATGCCTCGTCAGACATCGTTATACAGTGGCTGATCCATTTGTTTTGGAGGGGGGTACCTTTCCAGGGAAAAAAATGGCTTCTCTCCATTCCCCTTTTGTGCCACTGTCATGTTGGCGTCATGTCAATGACTGCAGACTCCATGGAGAGTCCTTAATCATAGTGTCATACAAAAACTTCAACTCTTCAAGTGCAGTGCACTTTCACTACCAGGTGACAAAGATTGGTATGCTGTTAGAGTATTGGACAGTTGTCCGGCAAAATGCATTTTCCAAAAAGAACCGAGGGAGGTCCGGTTAATCTAATTTGTCAAAACTGCACACGCAGATGTACCAGTCCTTCACATATGAGAATTGAACAGATATAATGCAAGTTGTCATATCTGAGCATTGACTATACTCTACCAACTGAGAGAGGACCACAGCTTGCAAAGATACAATCGATTCCAGCTGGTTTGGGCTGAATTCAGCTGATCCTCTCCTTTTCACATGCCAAATCAAGTGCTCAGAAGATGCTAAGATTCCTGTGTCTCCTTCCTCAACAACCGTTAGATCACTGAGCTAGTCCACCAGCGTGATGTCACCCGTATGCTGATCCAGAACAAGACCAACAGCCCCACAGCCTTCGACTGGCTGTGCCAAATGCGTTTCTACTTTGACCCCAAGCACACGGACGTCCTGCAGCAGCTGTCCATCCAGATGGCCAATGCCCGCTTCAACTACGGCTTTGAGTACCTGGGTGTGCAGGACAAGCTTGTCCAGACACCACTGACTGACCGTTGTTACCTGACCATGACACAGGCTCTAGAGGGAAGGCTTGGTGGATCACCATTTGGTGAGTTAGAACTAGCAAAGCAATATACATGCACTCTCTTCCAGATGAGTACACAGAATTCACCTGTCTTTGCTCTTGTTAGAAAACATCTTGCTCCATAGTCAGCCTTGTAAAATCTACCTGTTTAAATTCCATCCCACAGTTCTGTTATGGGTCTTCCGTAAAATAGTGACTTAAGAAATTGAATTGTACATGTAGCTGCATTTATAATGCAGAATTGAATAGCCTTATAAATTTCTGGTAGCTCTTCAGATTTTCTCTTCAGAAAATTTGGAAACCTTTTAAAGAACATTGGAGCTAGTGGTGGTAAAAATCCTTTGAAGCAGAAAATGCTGTGTACTGGTAACCATTTGCCACTTCGTTCAGGTCCTGCTGGTACCGGCAAGACAGAATCTGTGAAGGCCTTGGGCCACCAGCTGGGACGCTTTGTACTGGTCTTCAACTGTGACGAGAGGTTTGACTTTCAGGTAATTAGGTTCTTTCTGACTTATGTATGTGCTGAGCACCAACCTGCAAGCCATTACGTACTTGGATCATATGATACAGTCATTATCTGAGGACTTTCGAAATCAATGCGTTTTTCACTGGAGGATGTAGTTAGCCAAAGATAAATGCTGCCTTTTTGCTGTTTTCCAGAAAACCGAATCGGAATAAAAGTATCCAGAAAGAAGTGAAACGGGTTTTGTGCGGACATTACTGAATAAACACCAAGATACATGTAATATCAAAACAGATTCCATTTTTGTGTCCAAAGATTATTCATGAGTGGTTTACATGTAGGTTTGACAGAATTGGTATTTTGGATGCATTCTTCAACATGCATTTTTCTTTGAATTGTGGGGTTAGGTGTTCTTTTGAGGACACAGGTACCTATGTTTTACTTCAGAAAGATTCC